TCTATTGTGTATATATACCACATTTTCTATAATCTTTTGAAGGGCACCTAAGTTGGCTCCATAGCTTAGTTATTGTGAATTGTTTGCTATAAACATTGATGTGGCTGTGTCAACTGTAGTATGCTGATTTTAACGCCTTTGGATATATACCGGGGAGTGGGATGACTAGGTCAAATGGTGGTTCCGTTCCAAGTTTTCTGAAGAATCCATACTGCTTTCCAGAGTGTTTGTACCACTTTGTCATCCCACCATAATGTATGAGTGTATCCCTTTCCCCATATCCTTACCAACTTTATTGTTATTTGTGTTCTTGATAATTGCTGTTTTGACTGGAGTGAGATGAAATTTCAGTGTTTGTTTATATTTGCATTTCTCTAATTGCTAGAGATGTTGAACATTTTCTTGCATATTTGTTGACTATATTTCTTCTTTTGAGAAGTTTCTGTTTAGTTCCTTTGCCCATTTATTGGTTGGGTTATTTGTTAATACTACAGAGCTTTAGTAACAAAAACAGCATAGTTATTAGCACCAAAACAGGCATGAAGGCCAATGGAATAGAATAGAAGAAACAGACAAACCCACATAAATACAGTTGTCTCATATTTGGCAAGGTGCCAGAAACATACATTGGAGAAAAGATATCCTTTTTAACAAATGGCACTGAAAAAAAAACTGGAAATACATATATAGTAGAATGAAATTTAACCCCAATCTCTCACCTTGCACACTACTGAACTCAAAGTAGATCAAAGACTTAGGAATTAGACCAGAAACCCTGCTCCTGCTAAAAGAAAATGTAGACTCAGCACTCCAAATGTTGGTTCAGGAACTGAATTCCTTAACAAGACTCCTGATGTATAGGAGGTAAAACCAGAAATCATTAAAAAGCTTCTTCACAGCAAAGGAAACAATCAAAAGCATGAAGAGAGAACTTACAGAATGGGAGAAAATCTCAACTGCTCCTCAGATAGGGCATTTATATCCAGGATATACAAATAACTCAAAAAAAACTTAACATCAAAAAACAAAACAAGGAGCTGGGATTGTGGCTCAGTGGTAGAGTGCTCGCCTAGTACGGGCGGGACCAGGGTTCGATCCTCAGCACCACATAAAAAAAAATAAAACGCATTGTGTTGTGTCCATCTACACCAAAAAATAATATTAAAACAATAACAACAACAAAAACAACAACCCAATCAATCAATAGACAAAGAAACTAAATAGACTTTTTAATATTAGTAATTTGTGTCCTGTTTTTTTCTTAGTTACCCTGGCTAGACAATTACTGATTTTATTCATCTTTTCAAAGAACCACCTTCAGGTTTTGTTGATTTTTTTTTTTTTTTTTCTTTACTGAGTTCTTATATTCAATTTTATTGATTTCTGCTCGAATTTTTACTTCTTCTCTTTGGATTCAATTTGGTTTTCACTTTCTAGTGGAAGCTTAAATTACTGATTTTTATATCCTCAGTTGATAGATTACTGACTTCATATCTTTCTTTTTTTAAAAAAATATTAATAGCTCTTAATCTTCAGGTATTTACAGTTTACTTTTTTTCCCATGTGTGTGTTTTACTTCTAGTCAGTCCCTTCTGTTCTTTGTGTTATTATGGTCATTCATTTTACCTCTCTATATATTAAGAGCCCAATAATACATTATTATTATTTTGCTTACTTTGAAAGAACAATTGACCTTTTAAAATTTTAGTTTTGTTGGGGAGATATGCAGTTCTATAAATTTTAACACATGAATATTTGTGTATCCACAATTAGGCTGTAGAACATTTTTTCATTCTCCAAAAATTCCTTGATGCTTTTCCTTTATAAGTCACACCTTTGTCCCTCTCCCAGCCAGTCTCTTTTTCATCATTGCAATTTTCATATTTTTTGAGAATGTCATGTAAGTGGAATCATATGGCATACAACCTAATGAGGTTGGCTTCTTTATATATATTTAATTGTAGATAGACACAATGACTTTATTTATTTATTTATTTTTATGTGGTGCCAAGGATTGAACCCAGTGCCTCACATGTTCTAAGCAAGCACTCTATCACTGATCTACAACCCCAGCCCTAGCTTTTTTTTTTTTTTTTTAAATATTATTAGAGCACTATAATTTACATAGTATATGAGTTAATTTCATTTTGACAAAATCATACATGCAAGGAACTTGGTTTCAAATACTTTTTTTTAATGGTGTTGGGGCTTGAACTCAGGGCCTTGTACATGTGAGGCAAGCACTCTACCAACTGAGCTATATCCACAGCCCTAAGGAATTTGATTTCAATCCCAATATCCACACTCCACTTTTCCCAACCTTCCCTCCCCTTATTCTCCCTGTACTGTAGGAAGCTTTCTTTTTTCTACATATACATAAAGGTGATATTCCCTTTAGTACCTTTATATATCTTGTTGCATTCATTCCATTTTTCTTTCCCTTCCTTCCTCATTCTTCTACTTACTCCACTGATCTTCCCTATGTCTTCATGGTGTTCAATCCCTTTACCAACTGCCTTCTTTCCCTTGTCTTGCTCTAGCTCTGGCTTCTGCATATGAGAGAAAATATTTGACTCTTCATTGTCTGAGTATGGTTTGTTTCATTAAGCCTGTTTTTCCCCATTTCTATCCATTTACTGGTAAATATAATTATTTCATTCTTCTTTATGGCTGAGTAGAACTCCATTGTATATCTATACCACATTTTCTTAATCTATTCATTTATTGACAGGCATCTGGGCGATTCCATAATTTGGCTGTTGTGAATTGTGCTGCTGTAAACATTAAAGTGGCTGTATTGCTATAGTAGGCTGATATTAGATCTTTTGGATAAATACCAAGAAGTGGGATAGCTGGGTCATGTGGTTGTACCATTCCTAGTTTTTTGCAAAATCCATACTGTTTTCCAGAGTAGTTGTACTCATTTGCAGCCGATATTGTGGTATTTCCATTTTTGGCAATTATGAATAGAGCTTTTATCGATATTTATGTATCGGTTTTATATGAACGTGAGTTTTCATTTCTCTTGGGTAAATACTCAGGAGTGGGGTTGTTGGATCATTTGGTAAGAAATGTTTAACATTTTAAGAAACAGACAAATGTTTTTCCAGAGGTGCTATATAGTTTTGCATTCAATGTATGATATTAATGCTCATATTCTTACCAGTGCTTGAAAGGATCAGTTCCTGTCTCTGTGTCTGTCCACCTCCCTTCCCCATCCTCTTGCTGGGGATTGAACACAGGGACACTTTACCATTGAGCTATATCAACAGCTTTTAAAAATTTTGAGACAGGGTCTTGCTGTGTTGCCAAGACTGGCCTTCAATTTGTAATCCTTCCGCCTCAGCCTCTCAGCTAAGTAGATGGGATTATAGGAGTGCGACAGTATACCTGGCCAGTATCAGTATTTTTTTTATTTTAGCATTTTATTAGGTATGTGGTGTTATCTCATTGTGACATTAGTTTTCATTTCCATAATGAGTAATGATCTTAAACATCTATTCTTGACATCTTTATCTATTTTCATAAAAATAACTTCACTTTTTTTTTTTTTGCCTATTTTTAAATTGGCCTACTTCTTCCTGAGTTTTTAGATTCTTTATATATTTTGGATATTAGTCCTTTGTCAGGTATGTGATTTGTAAATATTCATAGTCCATAGCATGTCTTTAATTTTGTTAAATGTCTTTTGCTGAGAAAGTTTTACATTTTTATTAAATTTATGAGTCTAGTTTATGAGTTTTTCATTTATAAATAATGCTTTTGAGGTCATGTCTAAGAACTCTACTTAAACTAAATCATGAAGATTTTCTTTTCTAAATATCTCACAGTTTTTAGGTCTCCGATCCATTTTGAGGTAATTTTCATATAAGATGTTATATTTAGGCTGATGTTCATTTGTGGCTATAGCAAATGGTGTTCTAATACCATTTGTTGAAAGATTATTCTCCTTTCCTTCTATTGAATTGTTTTGCATCCTTCCCTAAAATTACTTGGCAATATTTGCATAGGGTGTTTTTTCTGACCTTAATTCTCTTCTATTGATCTGTGTTTTTCCTCTCACAATATCACACAGTCTTGAATAGTATAGCTTTTTAAGAAGATGTTTCTTTGCATTTACAAAGAAATATTTAGGATCAGATTTTCTGTATCTACAAAATGTCCTTGATGGGCATGTGCTTAAAATCCATAGGTGAATTGGTAGGAGAATTGACATTTTTACTGGGTTGAGTCTTTGAATCCATGACAGTATGTCTTCTTTTTTTTAGCTCCTTTTCTTTTATCAGCTTTTTGAAATTTTTAGAATTATTTGTCTTATGATATTTACACCTAAGTAAGTTAATTTCTTGTTATAAATGTTACTGTTTTTAAATTTTATTTTCAGCTTGTATATTACTGGTATATTATAGTTAAGGTGTGTGTGTGTGTGTGTGCACGCGTGTGTATGTATATATGTCTGCCCTTGTATCCTTCAATCATTGAAAATACATTTATTAGTTCTTGGAGATTTTTTCCTTTTATAATTTTGAATTGATATAAGCAACAACATGGACACAAATAGATCTTCTAGCATCAAATTCAGTTTTCCTTTACATCAAGTTTTTATACTACAGTCTCTAAAACATTTAATACTTCATATTAACTATATGTCTGGAAATGATTGGTTATTGATTTCTTTTTTATGTTGAATAAAGAAGTAGAAATTATTCTTGTCAATTTTAATTTCATTTTATAAAACCGTGATAAAATTATATTAGTTTCTAAGGTAAGATAACATTTCCTGATGAGGGTGTATATATACGCACACACATATACATACATAAGTATATAAGCAAGTGAATAGAAATGTTATGAGAAAAAATGTATCCAATTTAGGGAAAGTATTTATTATTACTATTTTTCTTCACATCAACATTTTGTCCCTCTTTACCACTATCTGTATTTTGTTCCTTTTGTTCCTTTCCTACAATCTATTTTAATTAGCGCTTTTCTTCATTTAGTTATTTCAGGTACCCTTGGAAGAGGAAGGACAGCGTGGTGGGCCTATCCTTGCACCAGAAGAGATTAAGACTATTTTTGGTAGCATCCCAGATATCTTTGATGTACACACTAAGATAAAGGTAAATTTGAATCCTTTAGGTTGGTAGTATTTCTTTTTTTTTTTTTTTTGGGATAGGGTGTATTATTATGATCTTTTAGTTATCTTAATAAATTTTGTGTTGAAAACTTCTTATTACCTCATTTGTTTCTTTCAATCGGTTGCCCCTTTGTTCTAGTGCCTTATTAATATTTGTTGTTTATCTTTTGATTTCAATTAATACTAAAAATAGGAGTTAAGGCTTTATGAAATCTTTTCTATAGAAATGTGATTCCTAGTACTAATTTTACTTTTTTACTGTCATTGTTCTTGGGTTATGTAGGTTTGTTTGAGTTTGAATATGTTTGAAAATAAATGAAGCTGTAAGGGACCTAGAGGTCATTAATTTATTTCTCTGTTTAGGCTGATAAATGCCCAAGCCATGTAAGACAGTATTATTTTCTTCTTAAACATTTTCCTTTGGTGAAGAATTCCAGGATTTCCAGATGTCAGTCTGGAAATAGTAATTTGGGGGTAGATTTAGCTGAACTCTTTTTTGTTGTTGTTTGAGGGGAGGTTTCACTGTGCTGCCCAAGCTGGTCTCAAACTCCAGTGAGTAAGTTATCCTCCTACTTGGCTCCTTAGTACCTGGGAGCATAGGCATGCATCACCACTCCTGGAATGCTGAACTCTTAGTAACAATAGTTTATCTTTGTTTCTCTTATTTTTCCTATATGATAATTTGAGTGAAACTGATTAATGTTTTTTCTACATTCCAAATAAAGCATCAAACTGAATTATATAATGTTTTCAAACACATTAAATTGTTATTTCTTTTAGTGTACATTGTAAGCAAAAATATTAAAAGATTGTAAGTTAGTAGGAGTGCAGTTTATCAAATGCTTACATTTTATCAAAAATCCTTAGTCATATTTCAGTTATTGTCTAGATCTAAAGGGAACCACATTCCCAACTTTTTTTTTTTTTTTAATTTTAATTTTGAGACAGGCTCTCACTAAGTTGCTAATTCTGGCCTTTAACTTGCAATTCTCCCATGTCAGCTTTCCGAGTTGGTGGGATTGTAGACATGCCACTGTGCTGGCTCATTTTTTTCTTTTAAATATAGCCAGCCATTTACTGAATTTTTCCCACATTTGTAGTGCAAGAAGTTGATATTATTGTTGTACACATCTTATACACGTGAGACTGCTATATCCAGAGATTTAATAATTTTCCAAAGTTAATCATTTGATAAACATTAGATCCAGTATTTGAATTCTTGTTTATCTAATACTACACTGGCACTTGGTATGTGTATCTATATCTATGTATCCATTCTGTAGTCTTCCATGCTTTAAAAAAGATACCATAAGATACACTGGCAGAACTATAAGTATTTTCTGTTTTATATCTCAGTTTTCTATGTTCCCTTCTTTATATTAAATATTTATGTAGGAAAATAAAGCTAATTATAACTTATTGAGCACTACTGTCTGTTTGGGATTCTTCTAGATGCTGTACAAATATTAACTCATTTAATTGTCTAAGAGGTAGGAATGATTGCTATCCTCATTTTTCAGAGTAGGAAATTAAGTTACATAGAGGTTAAGAAACTGGTCTAAGAGCACAAGACTAATAAGCCCTAGCGGCAGTATGTAAACCTTGGTAGTTGTCGCAGTATCCACTACATTGTATGGCCCCAAGGCTAGACATATATATAATATTTTTCTTTTTTCTTTCAAGTGCAGCTTTGAGTAGATAAGCTTTCCTAGTTCTTATGTCAAAGTTTTCTTACTTTGAGTTCACTTTTATGCCTTGAAAGCTATTTTATCCCTTCTTAAGTTTCTGAATGTGCTAATATAAGACAATGGTTTATTATTTGGATTCAGAATCCCTTTTTGTTTGTAAAAATCAAGAAACTTGTTTTGTTGTGCTGGGGATGAGACTAAGGATCTTATGTATACAAGACAAGTTCTGTGTTACGGAACTACATCCCTAGCCCTGTGTGGATTTTATCTATTGGGATTAACTCTACTCAAAATTAAAAAAAAAAAAAAAAGAAAATTAAACTAGGTGCAACAATTTTTGATGGCTTTATTTATGTATCATTATACATGTCTTTAAATTCACCTATTTAAAAGGTGCATTCTAATTGTTTTAGTAACTTTGCCAAATGGTGTAAATATCATCATAAATCTCTTTTGAAATATTTTGATTCTCTACCCCAATAAGATCTTTTATCCCCATTTATTGTTAATCCCCATCACTAGCCACAGCCAACCATTAAGCTATGAATTTGTCTTTTCTTAGATATTTCATGTAAATGCATTTATATAGTTTATGACCTCTTAGGTCTTGCTCCTGCTTATCATGTTTTTCAGGTTTGTATATGATGTTCATGTTAGTTTATTTCATTTTATGACAAAAGAATGTTTCATTATATTCATCATAACAGATTTTTTTTTTAATTATTTACCAGTTAATGCACATTTATGTTATTTCCAAGTTTGGGTGATTATGAATAATATTACTGGGATCATTGTTTGCAAATCTGAGAAGATACTTAGAAGGAGAATTACTGGGTAATTTTATATTTAAGATTGTGAGAAATTGCCAGGATTTTCCATTATTTTTGTTTTCATTCCTTTAATTTTCCACATTCTCATCAATACTTAGTATTATCTTTATTTTATTTTTCTAAATTAGAACAATCCTAGTAGTGAAGTGGAATCTCTTATGGTTGTAATTGGCATTTCCTTAGTGATTAATGGCATTGAATACCATTTCAGCATGCCTTACTAGCAATTTGAATATCATCTTTGAAATATCTGCTTAGATCTGTTGCCCATTCATTGGGTTATTTTTCCTCTTAATGAGTTGTAAGCATGTGTAAATTCTGGATATAAGTTCTTTTAAAGTACAAAAGTTTTAAATTTTGAAGTTGTTCCTAATCCAAGATTTTAAATATATCCTCTTATATTTTCTTCTAAAAGTTGTTTACTAAAAGTTGGTGAGGGCTTATAGTTTGTCTTTTTTTAATGTAGGATACCTAATTTTAAAATATATTAATTCATTTAAAATAATAATAATAGATTATCTGGTTACATAAATAATATATTCTTTATGAAAATCAATTTTCAAGGAATTTATTATTGAGAAGAGTGGTGATGTTTTACATTGTTTGTATTTTATTTACTATTTGGCTTTAAACAAAGATGAGTTATATTTCCTCTGCATTCATTCAGTCTGTTGGAATATCACATATCATGTAGCTTCTAGAAAACTGTATACTTGTAAGAGAATGTGAGTGAAGTAGTCGAATAATGCCTTAATATTACTAAATGAAAATAGTTTTAATCTCATGGATCCCACTGAAAGTGTTTCCTAGGGTTGTTTTTTTTGTTGTTGTTGTTTGTGGTGGGAGGGGTACCTGGGATCTAACTCTGGGGCACTCGCCACTGAGCCACATCCCCAGCCCTATTTTGTACTTTACGTAGAGACAGAGTCTCACTGAGTTCTTAGCCCCTTGTTTTTGCTGAGGCTGGCTTTGAACTTGTGATCCTCTTGTCTTAGCCTCCTTAGCCACTGGGATTATAGGCATGCACCACTGACTCCTTTGGATGACATGTGGAGAACTGCTGGTAGAAGAGTCTCTTGATTGATTTTTACTTTAAAAATCACTTAGAATTTTAATTTAGCTAATGTCATTTCTTGGCATTTCATTTAATCGTTTAATTTGTTTTATTATAAAGCTTTAGAATATTTTCTAAAATTTTCAAGAATGTAACATTTTAGAATTAGTGTGAGGAATTTTGTAGACTAGAGATTAGCAAACTGTGGTTCATGAACCAACTCCAGCCTGATCGTTTTTTTAATAAAGGAAGTCTTATTAGCACATAGCCATGTTCATTTGTTTGAATATTGTATATGGCTGCTTTTACTCTATAGAGCTGAAGAGTTGTGACAGAAACCATAGGGCCTGCAAGCCTTAAAATATTTACCATCTGGACGGGAAAAGGGAAGTACGGTGAAATGAATCTGACCTAACTTTCCTGGGTACATGTATGAATATACCAAAGTGAATCTTACCTTCATGTGTATATTCACAAGGCACTAATTAAAAACAAACAAACAAAGAAACAACAACAAAAAAGAAAACCCAAACTTTTAAATAGATAGCAGGAAAATCAGTAGAGTAGAAGAAAGGGAAAAAGGAAATAGTACTGAATTAGAGCAAATTATATTCCATCCTTATATAATTATTTAAAAATGAACCCTAATATGATGTATAATTAAAAGGATCTAAAAAAATAAATAAAATATTTATCATCTGACCCCGTCAGTAAAATTTGTTTTGTTTTGTTTTTTGGTTGTCCTTGTGGTTTGAACCAAGGGCTTGCACATGGTAGGCAAGTACTCTATTACTGAACTACATGTCCAGATTTTTAAAAATTCTATTTTGAGACATGCTTGCTAAATTGTCCAGGTTGGCCCCAAGCTTGAGATCTTCCTACCTCAGTCACCTGAGTCTCTGGGATTATAGGCATGTTAACCTTATGTGTCAATTTATATTAAATAACATGCTTTAGCAGCAGGATTAAATGTAGTTTTCTAATTAATAGCACCACCAGTTAGCTTTATAGTTAATAAGAAAAGATTGAATGTGATAACATTTTGAGAAGTTAGGTTTTGTCTTATTGACTGATACTATTTATATTTTCTTAATTATTTTTCAAAGGATGTTTTCTTTGTAGACAAAAAATTCCTTATTGAGGAGAAGAACAAAGTATGAACTATTTTTATACATTAAGTTAAAACATTTTTTGGAGTGCTTTTTCCCAATAAGGAGGTGTCAAGCTTGATTTTAAATGTTCCAACTTGTGCTATTTCAGGATGATCTTGAAGACCTTATAATTAATTGGGATGAGAGCAAAAGCATTGGTGATATCTTTCTTAAATATGTAAGTAGTTTCTTCCTTTTTAAAAATTTTCAGATTGAAGTATTATCAGGGACTGGCAAAGAGGGAAATTTACTTTTTGAAATGTGAGATGTTTTAAAACTTTGACAGGATTGTTTATTAAATATATCGGAATTTTTCTTGACTTCTAACATGTTTTCTATGTATGACTTAACACACGATCATTGTTAGAACCCTACTTGTTGCACTGCACTAGATTTTACTTTATGTTAAGTTATTTGCTCTTTCTAATGGTCACAGATTCATGAGTTTTTGAAAACGTTAAATTTTTATTATTTTTTTCTTAGTTGGTGTCACTTTTGTTTGTCATTATGTTTATTTCTGTTTAAAGGTTTCTAATGAATTGCTTCTTTATTAGAGTAAGAACTCCCTAGGTTGTTTATAAAATTAAAATAATTTTGGTGAGGTGCTGTGAATAGGATTTACTGTATAATTTTTTTTTTTTAAATTTCTTTGAATAGGAATTGTAAGTCAGTGCCTTGAGTACTGGCACATGTACTTCTGTTTTCTAAGGCCTCTCTTTAACTTCCTTCCTTAGCGTATAGTCTCTTAAAAGTTTTTTTAGAATTTTTTTTAGTTGCAGTTGGACACAATACCTTTATTTTATTTATTTATTTTTATGTGGTGCTGAGGGTTGAACCCAGTGCCTCGCGCATGCTAGGTGAGCACTCTACTGCTGAGCCACAACCTCAGCCCCTCTTAGAAGTTTTTTTCCTGGTTGATTAAGAATCCACATATGCAAATCATTACCATGTATCTTTTTGATACCTATTTGTGTCAGGATAGTTTTCCTTTTCTCATTTGCATTTTTGGGTAATATAGTTGATATTTTAATGGTGGTTTGGAATCTTCAATAAATAATATAGCATGCTTTTAGATTTTCTGTAGATCAATTCTATTTTTTTCACATATTCTAAAAATTTGTGAAGTCTTAAAGTTTTCTTTGTTATATTTGTGTAAGTATGATAAGATTTAACATACTTTTGCTTCTGTTTGGTTTTCAAGTTTCTAAAACTATAAGTTAATGTACTGTGTTTAGCAATTAACTCTCTTTACTGGGAAGTTTAGAAGATGAATTTTTGTATTTAATTTGTGAAGAAACTTACTTGAAGAAACTTACTTTAAACACTTTCCCTTTACATTCAAGATGTCAGACTGTGACTGGATTATTTGACCTTAAGTTTCATTGTCTAAAAGTGATATGCATAACAAATTAATGATTCTTTTCCCTTGTTTCTAGTCAAAAGATTTGGTAAAAACCTACCCTCCCTTTGTAAACTTCTTTGAAATGAGCAAGGATACTATTATTAAATGTGAAAAACAGAAACCCAGATTTCATGCATTTCTCAAGGTAATTTTTATATCTTTCAAATAAAAATCAGAATCATTTCTGAAGGAATTCATTAAATTATAATTTAAGTAAAATTACCTACATATAAGAGCACTCTAATATTGTCTGTTAATTTTAGTTGTACGTATAAGTGACAAATATTTTTTGTTTCAGAAGATTTGATATATTAAGTAGTAGAGCACAAAAGGCAAATGAGCAAATGAAGATGTTGTATATGGCTATTTAAAAAGAAAAAAATTATACTTGTTTTAACTCTCAAAATACCTAGCGATTTTCCAGCGAGACTTCATTTTGCCTTTAATGGTTGCCTTTCCTCACCTGTGCCTTATATGTTTATCTAATGTACCAGCATACTTAATATTTTAAAACTTTTTTTTGTTGTTGTTTAAAATCTAGATGTAAGAGAAAATTAAGATGGGATATATAGAGGATTATAGAGGAACTCACTTCCTTAAAATATGTTAACCTTTGATGGCCAAGAGGAAATTTCAGGTCCTGGAAGATTATTATCCACAGTGATTTGCCAGAGATCCCATGTCTTCTCCATTAGGTCTTATCAGGGACAATTATGATCAGATGTAATCTAATAAATGTAAGATGTCTAATCGTTGAAGAAAACTTAATGAATAAATTAATTCCTTTCAGATAAATCAAGCTAAACCAGAATGTGGACGGCAAAGCCTTGTTGAACTTCTCATTCGACCAGTACAGAGGTTACCCAGTGTTGCATTACTTTTAAATGGTACTTGTCTGGACTGTATTCAGATTACTTCATGTATTTTCATGGAACTGATTTTTCTAAAACAGTTGAATTCTTCTTTTCAGATTTTCTTATACTTGAGAATTAAAGTTTATATATCTTTTATATAGAAAACATCTTTATGGATAACTTTAAAAAGCACTTGCAAATATTAGGAAGATACTATATCTCAGGAGCTCACAGGCTAGCAAGGAAGACAGATAAATGAATAATCATAATACAATGAGAGGAAAGGATAACAATAGAGAAAAAACAAAACAAAAACATTACAGATGCTATAAAAATTAAGTTTAGTACCTGAAATACTTTATTTGTTCTGAAATTACTTATGTTGACTAATATTTTATCCTTTTTCTTTCCACTTAAAAATCTTCTTATATTTCATGGTGTGTCACTAATTCAAAATTAATTTGTATTTAAGTACCACAAAATTCACCCACAAAATTAAAAGGCAAGGGATGATACATATGTCCCAAATTTTTAGTTAAATTCCTTATGTTTGGTCTTATACTTTCTTATTTTTCCTTAGATTGTTCAAAGCTGTATCTATTTATTTTAGAACTATAGATATCAGTAGAAGTTGGACATCAAAGATTTTTTATGAATAAATTTTACTTTTGGTTAAAAAAAAAGTATGTATATGAATGTGGGTGTGAGGGTGTATACATATATATATTTTATTCTTCTACATTCAGCAGACTAAAGTAGTGAGTAGTTTTAGGACAGTGCCAGTTTTTATTACTGTTTTGGTTTTATTTTTTATTTTTTGGGCTTATAAAATTTTTTTCCCCATTTTTTAATTGATATGTTATAGTTGTACATAATGGTGGAATTTGTTATTATATAATCATACATGTACACAATATAACAGTATAATTTAGCTAATATCATTCCCCAGTATTTCCCTTTTATTACATTAAAAAAAATTAAAATGTAAGGCTAAATTACAAACAAAAAATTTGCAATAAAGAATTTTGATTCCTAAGCTTATAGTAATATGTACAGCAGAGAAGGAGGCTGATTTTTGTGACTGTTTAATCTGTGTTTTTTTCTGTAAAATGTTTTGGTTAGTAAGAGGTAAAGTACTAATTGTAAAAAGTTGATTTTTGTTTTCATTGTGATTATCTAATGTATTTGAGAATTACCAGCTTATAAAATTCCCCCCCTCTTTAAAACCTATCCTATTTTACAAATTATAATGTCAGTATATAAACAAACCTTCAAGTTTCTCAAGCTGTGATTTTTTTCCGTTTGCATATCTCAATTTTATTGCATTAAGTACTTGTAGAAATTTATCAAATGTTGTCATGACTAAAATGAATGTGATCTGTAAGCCTTTTGTCTTATTAGTCCACATAAAAGATTGGGTGGACATGGTATGAGACTGAACATAGATGTGGTAAGAATGTGCCAAGGATGGCACAAGGAACACAATAAGCAACCTGGATAAAAAGAGTCAATGTGTATGAACTTCTACTAGGAGTCCCCAAGTGTTACTAGAAGGGAAGTATGAACTTCTACTACTAGTCCCCAAGTGTTACTAGAAGGGAATTGAGACAGTTCAATAAGAAAATCAGTGTGACATTTTCTAAAAATTTAGTCAATAAAAAAGTATGGATACCTGATTGTGAAGTGTAAAAGAAAAAGCTTGTTAGGGAATATTGCTTAAAACTTTTTTTTTTTTTTAAGTGAAGGGTAGATGTTATTTTTAAAAACAATCAGGCTATATCAAGATTGACCACATTTTTAAGTCTTGGATCAGAAACCATTGAATTTTTTAAAATTATGAAACAGCCATTTTATTTTTATAGATCTTAAGAAGCATACAGCTGATGAAAATCCTGACAAAAGCACTTTAGAAAAAGCTATTGGATCACTTAAAGAAGTAATGACGTAAGTGCATTGTTTTAGTTTTTTATTCTTTAGATTTAGAATGGAATTGATATGTTAGTCATAAATAGAAGAGTATCAATAGCAACTTTTTATAAAATAATATCTAACTTATTGTTATTATTTTTTGGTACCAAGGATTTGAACTCAGGGGTACTTGGCCACTGAGCCACATCCCCAGCCCTATTTTGTATTTTATTTAGAGACAGGGTCTCACTGAATTGCTTAGCACCTTTTTCTGAGGCTGTCTTTGAACTCAAGATCCTCCTGCCTCAGCCTCCCAAGCCCTGGGATAAATTAGTTTTTAATAGTGTAGCTGCACATTAAAATGACAAGAAGAGACTGAGGATGTAGCCTAGGATAGAGTGCTTGTCTAACATGTGCAAGGCCCTGGGTTCAACCCTGAGAACTGCCAAAAAAAAAAAATAATAATAATAATTAAAAAAATAAAAAGATGAGGCAAATACATTTATTAATCAAAACATTTGTTTCTGAAATTAAATTATTATGTGTAGACAGAATAACGGTTTAGAAACTTAAAAATGTTATAAATGCTCAAATAGACATTTTCTTCAGTTATGTTATAGCATGTTGTTGTTTTCTTACTAATGTGAACTATCTAAATACTAACAGAAATTTGACCAGGTAAATTAAAAACAAAACAAAAAAAAGGTTTATAATATTTCTATATTCTTTCTTTCTTACCTAGAATTTTATGGAATTAAATTGCTAGTACCATATTGATTAGAGATGTATTACAAGTCCAAACTCAATGAAATTGACTTGAGAGGCTTGATCGTTAAACTGAGGCTGTTGACTATAGGTCTAATTTGGAAAACAGGTCTGATGAGAAATGATCTTTTCTATTAGGATTATAGTGGAAGATTCTTGCCATTACCTGTTTTACCTCATGAAATTCACTTAAACTCTTTGAACTTTATACATGAATGTATTTAATATTTGATTGAATGATTCCTGTGAATGCATGAGGTTCTTATCTATGACATCATTTATTAGAATATTTGCAAAGGAGGGTTGGGGATATACCTCAGTGGTAGGGTGCCTGTTTAGCATGCATGAGACCCTGGGTTAATCTCTATTACTGAAATGGAAAGAAAGTAAAGAAAAAAAAGAAAAGAAAGAAACACTTGCAAAGGAGCTCTTAGAAAGAAACTTTACTAGCTCTAGAGAGAAAATCCAGTTGGAACTCTTTATTATTCACTTATGTGAGAGATTAATCATCAAATTAGCTAATACCAGCTTCTGTTGCTGATGAAAGGGTTATGGAGTTACATTTTTTATTTTATTTTATCCTTGTGGTGTTTTTAACGTTTTCACCTGCCAGCCTTTATACATTTTTGGGTTTTATTTTTAATTTTTTTTCCTACTTTTGATTTGTTATCCTGAAATTGGGATAACACTTTTGAGGCTATGATGATGATAATTCTCTCTCTTTTTCTCAACAAATTTAAAATAATATACTATTATTTGCTTTGGTCTTTTCAATAAGCTTCATGAAATGGGCAGTTACTGTTTATTTATTTTTATAAAAGAGAAAAGCTGTGAGGTTGTTACTTGCCCAATTTGCCTGTTTAATGTGTAGAATACTCTATTAACTTATGCTATTTGTTATTTATGTATAATATATTTTGGCAAACAGACTATAAAGTAATAAGTTACTATTAATAATAGGTATTGTAGTAGTGAGTAAACCAATCATTTGTCTAGTGGCCTCCTTTACAATAGTGTTAAGGTGACTGTTAACAGATAAACTGAATCAATAAGACAAATAATTAAAGATTTCTTTTCCTTTTAACATTTTTTTGAGCTTCCTGAGAATTTATGAATATTTTCAATGTATTCTTAAGTGCCTTGCTCATAGGTTTTCAATTAATGTTGAATTATAGGAGATATTTTAGTGTTGATTTGTAATGTTGATTTATAAACCTATTGGAATTTGACTGGATCTAGATAGATCTAGGTTCTTGAACATCTAGTCTAACATGTAAATGCTTATGATGATTTATTGAAACCACCATAATCTGTCAGGTTAAGCAAATAACGAGTCAGCACAATTCACTAATCCTTGCCATTTAAGTAAACCCAAAACACTTGCTAAAATTCAATTCTGACAACATTAGTAACATATGCTTTGCTTATAATAGACTTTTTGAGTGTGTATGTGTGTGTGTGTGTGTGCACCGTTACTGGAAGTACTGCAATACCAGGTCGATGCGTGGAGTGGATGGAGCAAGCTACTATTCCATCTCCCTGCTCCAAAAATCCATTTAATATATTGTCCTTGGATAGAGGACGTATCAGATATTAAACTGATAAGAACAGATACTACATTTGATCTTAGCCAAAAGGCCAAGAAGTGATTATTATGAATAGATTTTGTTATAAGTTTCTAATAACTTCAGTATGCTTTTTCTCCCCTCAAATTATATGTTTAAAATGTAGTTTGATTAATTTTGGCATACATACACTCCTATGAAACCATCACCACAATTCAGGAAATTTTCTATCACCCCCTAAATTTACTCATGCCCCTTGGTAATAGATGCCTTGGTAGTGGTTCCACTTCTTTTGCCTCTGCCTACTCCACATATTCCAAGGCAACCATTACTCTTCTCTCTCTTCCTATAATACACATTTTCCAGGATTTTATCTAAACCAAATCACATGGTTTATTCTCTTTTGCATGTTTTTCCCCTTCAGTATAAGTATCTTGAGATTCGTATTTATTCTTTTTTTATTTTTTGAAATACATGATAGCTGAATGTATTACAATTCTTATTACACATATAGAGCACAATTTTTCATATCTTTGTATAAAATATGTTCATGCCAATTCATGTCTTTATACATGTACTTTTTTTTTTGCATTACAATTCTTATTACACATATATACCACAATTTTTCATATCTCTGTTTGTATATAAAGTAGGTTGACACCTAATTCGTGTCTTTATACATGTACTTTGGATAATGATGTCCATCACATTCCACCATCCTTGCTAATCCCCTGCCTCCTCCCTTTCCGTCCCTCCCTTCTTCCCTATCTAGAATTCATCTATTCGTCCCATGTTCCCCCTCCCTACTCCACTATGAGTCATCCTTCTTACATCAGAGAAAACATTGGGCATTTGTTTTTTTGGGATTGGATAACTTCACTTAGCATTATCTTCTCCAATGCCATCCATTTACCTGCAAATTGTCTTTTATTGCTGAGTAAAATTCCATTGTGTATATATGCCACATTTTTTTTTATCCATTCATCCTCTGAAGGGCATCTAGGTTGGCTCCACAGTTTAGCTATTGTGAATTGTGCTGCTATAAACATTGATGTGGCTGTGTCCCTATAGTATGCTGTTTTTAAATCCTTTGGGTATAGTCCAAGGAGAGGGATAGCTGGGTCAAATGGTGGTTTCATTCCCAGACTTCCAAGGAATCTCCACACTGCTTTCCATATTGGCTGCACCAATTTGCAGTCCCACCAGCAATGTATGAGTGTACCATTTTGCTCACATCCTTGCCAACACTTATTGTTGTTTGTCTTCATAATAGCTGACATTCTGACTGGAGTGAGATGATATCTTAGAGTAGTTTTGATTTGCATTTCTCTGATTGCTAGAGATGATGAGCATTTTTTCATATATTTGTTGATTGATTGTATATTCTCTTCGAGAAGTGTCTGTTCAGGTCCTTGGCCCATTTGTTGATTGGGTTATTTGTGTTTTTGGTGCTTAGCTTTTTGAGTTCTTTCTATACCCTAGAGATTAGTGCTCTGTCTGATATGTGAGGAGTAAAGATTTGCTCCCAGGATGTAGGCTCTCTGTTCACCTCACAGATTGTTTCTTTTGCTGAGAAAAAACTTTTTAGTTTGATTCCATCCTATTTATTGATTCTTGGTTTTAATTCTTGCGCTATAGGAGTCTTATTAAGGAAGTTGAGGCCTAATCCCACATGATGAAGATTAGGGCCTACTTTTTCTTCGATTAGACGCAGAGTCTCTGGTTTAATTCCTAGGTCCTTGATTCATTTTGAGTTAAGTTTTGTGCATGGTGAGAGATAGGGGTTTAATTTCATTTTGTTACATATGGATTTCCAGTTTTCCCAGCACCATTTGTTGAAAATGCTGTCTTTTCTCCAGTGCATGTTTTTGACACCTTTGTCTAATATAAGATAATTGTAATTTTGTGGGATAGTTTCTGTGTCCTCTATTCTGTACCATTGGTTTACCAGTGTGTTTTGGTTCTAATACATGCTGTTTTTGTTATTATTGCTCTGTAGTATAGTTTAAGGTCTGGAATAGCGATGCCAACTGCTTCACTCCTCCAGCTAAGGATTGCTTTAGCTATTCTGGGTCTCTTATTTTTCCAGATGATTTCATGGTTGCTTTTTCTATTTCTATGAGGAATGCCATTGGGATTTTGATCGGAATTGCATTAAATCTGTATAGTGCTTTTGGAAGTATGGTCATTTTGATAATATTAATTCTGCCTATCCCAGAGCAGGGTCGATCTTTCCATCTTCTAAGGTCTTCTTTGATTTCTCTCTTTAGGGTTCTGTAGTTTTCATTGTATAGATCTTTCACCTCTTTTGTTAAGTTGATTCCCAAGTATCTTATTTATTTATTTATTTTTTGAGGTTATTGTGAATGGGGTAGTTTTCTTCATTTCCTTCTCAGAGGCCTTGTCACGGATATACATAAATGCCTTTAATTTAATGGGTGTTGATTTTATATCCTGCTACTTTGCTGAATTCATTTAGTAGTTCTAGAAGTCTTCTGATGGAGTTTTTTGGGTCTTCTAGGTATAGAATTATATTGTCAGCAAATAGTGCTAATTTAAGTTCTTCTTTCCTATACTTATCCTTTTGATTTCTTTCATCTGTCTAATTGCTCTGGCCAGTGTTTCAAGAACTATATTGAATGGAAGTGGTGTAAGAGGGCATCCTGTCTTGTTCCAGTTTTTAGAGGGAATGCCTTCAATTATTCTCTGTCTAGAATGATGTTGACCTGAGGCTTAGTGTAGATAGCCTTTACAATGTTGAGATATGTTCCTGTTATCCCTAGTTTTTCTAGTGTTTTGAACATAAAGGGGTGCTGTATTTTGTCAAATGCTTTTTCTGCATCTATTGAGATAATCATATGATTCTTATGTTTAAGTCTACTGATGTGATGAATTACATTTATTGATTTCTGTATGTTGAACCGACCTTGCATCCCTGGGATGAATCCCACTTCATCATGGTGCACAATCTTTTTGATCACCTGTGAACAAATTGTTGTTATTAAAACATTTACAGTTTAGTCTCAATGTTCAGAAATGTTGGACTCAATTATTATTTAAAATATAATCAGTAGTTTCATAAAAAAAGGTTTACAGTTTCTGGCAGTGGACAATGAACTGGGGCTCAGGTGTAGGACGGTATGTTGAAGGGAGAAGATGTGAGGGTATATAGTTAATATATCTTAGGAAATGTGAAGGAGAAATCTAGTGAAGAGGATTTGTAGCAGGAGAATAGATAGGAGGTAATTTGGGGTAGACAATTATGAGGGAGGACAGTAGAGTACATAAAACAGACACACATGTTTTTAGAAAAACACAGGATGTTAAGATAGTATAATATGGAGGGTGAAGGAAGAAGAAAGAGAAAAAAAAGGGAAAGAAAGAAAGAAAGAAAAAGAAAGGAAAAAAGAGAAAAAAAGAAGAAGAAAGGGCTTATGTAATTCCTCTATATTATATTATTCAGGTGACTTAGTCCTCAAAGTCCTATTTCATGCAAAGTTCTTGGTTTTACATATGTTGGGGATGTGAGGGCCAGAGATTAGAAGGGTAGAAGAGAAAGAAGAAGAGAAAAAAAATACTCTCAGAGATCCGTTTCTTTCTATTATCCAGTAGGTGGGGTTGTCTCCTCCAGTAGGTGTCTAGGTAACCAGGGTGTGAAGACTGGACCTGGTGTGGAGCATCTGGAAGTGGGGAGTACCGCCTACCAGTCCCAGCCGAGAAATAGTGCCTCATGGGTCCTTTTTTTTTTTTTTTGTGACCACTTGTCTGACTTGAGCCCCGGGTATCATCTCCCTCTCTTGCCTGGAAATTTCCAAGATCCTGGTCTCTCTGTTATGCTCTAGACTTTAGTCTTCTCCCCTCTCTTACTTATCAGGTCCCAACTGCAGGACCTCTCACCCCTAGGCTCACACCAGGTGGGCGGTGCCCTGTTTGCATTGTGCTCCTGTCCAACTGAGAGCTGTTCTTGTATTGGGTGGTCACTGTGCCAAGTTAACACCATTGGGAAGGGGAGAGGAATTGGAAATCAATGCTCAAATGGCCATCTGATCTGATAGCCATGCCCACCACAAAATGGCGAGGAAGGGTTTTCCAAGATGGAGTCAAGCTGGGGTGTCTAGTGATGTTGGGGGAGCTGGGTGATGGCCTTGTGCTGTGGATAGGTAGCAGCCTAGTGACCTGCGCAGGAGCCGTGTGTAGTCTGGAGTTCTGCAGAGGTACTGATAGTACTTATTCTTATATCAGTCGTTTGTTCACTTTTATTATTTTCATTGTAAGAATATACCACTATCCATTCTTGTGTTGATGGACATTTTATTATTTCTAGTTACTGGCTATTAAAAGTAAATATATGAATATATGTGAACAAGTCTTTTTATGCATATATGCTTTTTTTGGATAAATTGGTAGGAGTAGGAGTGGACAGATCAGTTAGTTGATGTATGCATAATATTTTAAAGAAACTGTCAGACTCTCCAAAATGATTGTACTTTTACATTCCTGCTGTGTCTCTATGTCCTTGTTAACCCTCATTTTGGTCAGTCATTTTAATTTGTGGCATTCGAATAGATGTACAGTGGTTATCTCATTATAGTTTTGATTTGGATTTTCGTAGTGACAAATGATGTTGAACATCGTTTTATGTGCTTATTTGCTATAAGATTATCTTCTTTAGTGATATGTACCTTGAAATTTTTTGTTTTCTCTCTTTTTAATATGGGTCGTGTTCTTTTTTGTGGTGTTAGGTATTGAACCCAGGGCCTTGTGCATGCAAGGGAAGTATTCTACCAACTGAGCTCTATCCTAAGCCTCCAGGTTGTGTTCTTATAATTAAATTTTGAGACTTCTTTATAGAGTATTTTCTGATTAAAAAGTTTTTATTAGACGTGTAATTTGCAGTTTTTTCTTATCTGTATCTTGTTTTTTCTTTTAATGTTTTTCTTTCAAAAAAGAGTTCTAGATTTTGAAGTATAATTTATTAATTTTTTCATAGATGATACTTTCATATTATCTAAGAAAATCTTTTTCTAACCCAAGGCTACAAGAATGTTCTCCTGTTCAAGGAGATTTTCAGTTTTAGTCTTTCCATAAAAATCATTTAGGTCTTTCTCAACACACCACTAAACCAGGAAGGGTCACTCCAGGTGAACTGGGATGGCGCGAAGTAATGACACACAGAGAAATACCTTTTTTGGGGGGGGGTTTGTGATGGCTCCTCTGACCTAGCTCCCACAAAGGAGACAAGGCAGGCAAGAGAACTCTTTTATTGGGAAGAAACCATTTAAATGAGGCAAGGGATCAGTTTTCAGGGGGTTGAGTCTAGCTTCCTGATGTCTTGCTGTCAGCAGATTGACTGACAACTTGGAAGGCCATGCCCATCCCGTGTATTGTGTGGGGATCATAGGCAGAGCTAGCTAAAAGGACACATACATTACCAGCCCAAATAGAGAGGCAGCGTCAGTCTAGTTCACTTTGTGTGCTCAATGCTCATAGTTCACACACACACACAGCCCATGGCTGGCTTGCCACATACGTAGTTCCTGTCCAGAGCAGCTCCAGACAAAGTCCATGATGCATTTTGAGGTAATTTTTGTATTTGAGGCAAGGTATGGATCAAAGTTTATTCATTTTTTATAAATATGGAAATCTTTTCTAGCACTATTTTGAAAAGAATATCCTTTCTCCAGTGAATTGCTTTTGTACCTGAAATGTAAGGCTTATTTAATTTTTGGATTCTTAGTTCACTGATTTATAGATCCACCCTTATACCAGTTTCACAGAGTTTTGATTACTGTGTTAAAGAGTTTGAAATTGGGAAGTGTGAATCCCATTTTCTTTGTTCTTTATTCTCAGGATTATTTTTGCTATTCAGGTCCCCTTGAATTTACATATTTTTTCCCTTATTTATTTATTTATTTATTTAACATATGGTTTTTAGGACCATCTTGATAGTTTCTGAAAAACAATAGTATTAAAAAAACAGCTGCAAATTTGAATATGATTTTATTGATTCTATAGATCAATTTGGGGTATATGGTTTTTTTTAGCAATATTAAGTGATCTGTGAAATTTATTTCCATATATTTTTAGTTCTTTAATTTATTTTAAAATATTTTTCTTAGTTGTTGATGGACCCTTCCCCCCTTTTAAATTTATTTATAAGGTAGTGCTTAGAATCATACCCAGTGCCTCATACATGCTAGACAAGCACTCTCCACTAAGCCACAACCCCCAGCCTTAGTTCTTTAATTTCTTTTAACTGTGTTTTGTAGTTTCAGGGTATAAGTCCTTCATTTCTTTTGTTAAACTTATTCTAAGCATTTTATTCTTTTTGTTACATTGCAAAGGAATGGCTTTCTTAATTTTTGAATTGTTCATGGATGTTATATAGAAATACATTTGCTTTATATCCTGCAATTTTGCTTTCCTTGCTTTTTATAGTAATTTTTTACTGAATTTCTTAAGTTTTTCTGTAAACAAGTACCATGTCATCTACAAACCTGATTTCAGGAGGAAAACATTCATTTTTTTTTTTTTGCTGTTATGTATGATGGGGGTTTTCATATATCTATTTTCTAAAAATATTTTTTTAGTTGGTATGGACCTTTATTTATATGTGGTGATGAGAATCGAACCCAGTCTCTCACATATTCTAGGCAAGTGCTCCATCACAGAGCCAGAACCCCAGCCCTCATAGATAGCTTTTATTAGCTTGCAGAAGTCTTTACCTATTTGTAGTTTGTTGAATGTTTATTTCATGAGAGGGTGTTAATTTTGTCAAATACTTTTGTCTTTTGAGGCGGTCATTTGATTTTTGTCCTTTGTTCTATCAAAAGTGTTGCATTTTCTGTTTCTTCTTGAGTCAGTTTCTGTGGTTTGTGTCTTTCTAAAAATTTGCCCTTTACACCTATGTGATTGAATTTGTTTTGAAGTAGTTGTTCATAGAGTTCTATATGATTTTATTTCTATAACATTAGTAATGATGTCTAGATTTATTATTGCTGATTTTACTAATTTGAGTCTTATTTTTCTCTTGGCTAGTATAGCTAAAAGTGTCAATTTTGTTGATCTTTTCAAGTTTTTTATTTTATGTTTTCATTAATTTTCACTCTAATCTTACTATGTCTTTCCTTCTTTTTGCATTAGGTTGTTCTTCCTCCACCCACTCTTATGGTAGAAGGTTATGTTACTGATTTAAGTATCTTGAGAACCTTTGTTTCTTTATATTTTCTGGCTTTTTAGTTGTTTCAGGCAGAATGATAAATATATTCTCTGCTATTCCATTTTGTCTGTAAGCAGTGATTTTAAGATTATTTTAAGAAATAATTAGCATATGACCTGGGAATGACTTGCATGAAGCCTTAACTGAATTTATATTTAGAATTCAAAATTTTGTTTAATCCAAATATTTGTACATTTAATTTTTTAAATAAAATGTATAACGAATATAAAGATATACGCTAGGAAAACATACTTTTTATAAAGATTCTATGGAATAAATTAATAGTGTATTTTTAAAAAATATTTAAACTGATTTTAGTCGCCAAAATCAAGACAGACTGATATGAAATTTTTTGTGACATGAGATGTATTCATATTCTGATATTGTATTCTGTTTTTCAAAGCTTTAAAAATAACTTAATTTTTTAGGCATATCAATGAGGATAAGAGAAAAACAGAAGCACAAAAGCAAATTTTTGATGTTGTTTATGAAGTAGATGGATGCCCAGTAAGTATTTTTTGATGATTGTCATTTATTTTTTTCCTTGTTAATAAGTTTTGATATAAGCAACATCATGGCAGCACTTTCATTTAAAATACAACTTTTAAAAAATTACTTGATACCAATTGATTTCTTAATATTTTTCCATCTGTACAGGCTAATCTTTTATCTTCTCACCGAAGCTTAGTGCAACGAGTTGAAACAATTTCTCTAGGTGAGCACCCCTGTGACAGAGGAGAACAAGTGACTCTTTTCCTCTTCAATGACTGCCTTGAGGTAAATTTATACACATATAATAACACTGCACACTACTGTCGTTTTAAAAAATTATTTAAGATGTATTTATTAACAGGTGCTTGCAATTATTGACTTTTGAAAAAAATCAAATTGTAAAATTTTATTACAGATTAAAAATGAAGTTCTCAAAAATCTCAGCATACCTATTTGTAGTTTGTTGAATGTTTAGTTTATGAGAGGGTATTAAATTTGTCAAATATTTTGTCTTTTGAGGCAGTCATTTGATTTTTGTCCTTTTTGTGACTTTCCTGAATATTTAAAACCAAGCTTCAATTAAAGTATAATTTAGAAGTTTGAAGTAAGCCTGATTTAGTCACTTTAAAAAAAAATTGAAATCAGTCATTAGTTTAATGTAATAAAACGTATTTAAGATAAGGTCTAATATTAGTAAGTAAAATGAATTTCTATTACTTCAAATTCAAGTCAAAATGAAAATTTAATTATTGCCATACAAATAAATGCCTATATCAAGAATTTTGGGAACTTCTTGTTTTTATGTATATTTACTCAAGATTCACAAACTAATTCTGAGTTGTTCTTTTTTGAATTTAAGTAGATTTTTTTCAGTAGAGATAAAGTCAATGTTTTGTTGAAGAGAGAATTTAATAAAAAATATTATTAATTCCTTATGATTCTTTGATTATTCTTTAAATTAATGGTTTTTGCAGTGAATGAATGTTTAGTATATCAGATGATATGTAATGATTCCAATACTGAAATTATTTTATATCCAAATTAAGATTTTTCTTCATACTACTCTTACAGGAAAATTGTTGAATTATCTTTGTGTGTTTTTAAAAAAAATTCTTCTTTTTCTCTTGATTCTTTTAATATGCATTTTTACACAACTATACAGTCTAGTGATAGATAAAAGGAGTGCCTTTTCTTCATGTTTAAAGAGAAAAAAATGTTCATTTTAATAAAACAGACATTGATAAGACTTTGCTTGATATTTTTTTAACTGGGTAACTTTCCGTTGCCTTCATCAGAGCAATTGGTGGTTTTCTTTAAAGTCTGTACCCCGACATTTTATCCTTTTCTGCTGTACTCCCCTTGAAGTGCTGCCCTTTTATATCATGTACATTATTATTTAAAGTATAAAATACAGGGAGTCATAGAGAACAAGCCATGCACAAAGCAGTTACAAGTGCAATAAAATCTCACCAAAAATTCAATTGTTAAATGCAGAGTTTTGTGATTTTGAAATTAATGAAAAAATATTTTCATTAGATCAGTAATGTTACAAAAAGTATAACACTAACAACATTACAAATACCATACACAATTGACCATATCCTATAGTGAGAAAATCATAGAAAAATCATGAGGCACAGATAATTCTGAACTATATGTCTCCTGCTTAATAAGAATTCTAGCCTGCCCTACTTTTTAAAAAATGTCTTTATTTATTTATATGTGGCGATGAAGATTCAACCCAGTGCCTCACACATGCTAGGCCAGTGCTCTACCACTGAGCCACGACCCCAGCCTAGTCTGCCCTACTTTTGAGAACAGGGGCTAAGCAGATAAATCAATTTTAATCATATTGTATATGAATTTATATTATCATGGCATTTTACTCTACTTATATCTCTGTATTTGTATTAATTTGCTTCTATTAAGGCATTTTAGGTTTTTCCTGTTCAACTCCCTAGCCCAGCTGACTCTGTTCCAATCCATTTTGAATTTTGCCACCCTGTTCTTGGTGGAGCAAAGACTTAGTTCGTATTCTTTGATCTTAATTTCCTTCACAGTCTTATGTAGCAGCCTCATTGACGTCCCTTCTACTTCAGTCATGCCATGGCTCATCCTCTATAAGCTTCCAAGTCCCTAGCCTCTTACTTCCCTGCTAGTGACTTTTCGTTTGACTCCCTTTTAGGTTCTCTGTCTCAGAATCACTTTGATAGAAACTGCTCTATTTGTAAATAACATTAAATTTGAACTTTATAATCCTAAGTAAAGTTTTATTCTTTAATTTGTTTGAGAAAAATAAAACTCTTAGCAAATTTGTAATGAAAATATGCTACTTCCTTAACATGATTAAAAACCTATAGTATTGGGGCTGGGGTTGTGGCTCAGCGGTAGAGTGCTCACCTCGCATGTGCAAAAACCCTGGGTTTGAGCCTCAGTACCACATACAAAAATAAATAAATGAAATAAAGGTGTTGCTTCCAACTACAACTAAAAAATAAATTTAAAAAAAAACTATAGTATACATCATACTAGTTAGAAGTAGTGACTGTAGGTAAAAATCTGTTGTTTTCTCTTTGACAGGTAATGGTTTTTACTGAAACAAATTTTGGATTTAAGGATACATTTTCCTTTTGTATATTTTATCTCTTTTTTACCTTAATTTTTTAACATTTGTATCATCAATATTAATACTTGTCATTTCTTTTCTTTTTAAAAATAAACCTTAAAATCATTTAATTATTTTGCTTAGCCAAACTTTAATGTATATTCAACTATTACAATGGAAATAATTATTTTAAGAGTCTTTATTGCTTATTTTCAATATACTTATAAATGAACCTTTAATATTTGAAATGTGTACTTCATATGCAATATAAACATGTTTTTCATATTTCTACTTCAATGTGAATATGATATACTGACTAGTTTTGGTTTGCTCATTAGCCCCAACACAAAGTATTACATTTTCAGCTGTACTTTGTTATATTCATGATGATCAATCAAAATCCAAGGAACTTAATCAAAACTCATTTTATGTTAATATCTTTTAGTAAAGTCTATAAATAATATGTAAGACTTTCATGGAAATGAAACCAAAAAATGTAGACTTTATAAAAATAAAACTTCAGTATATCATGAATCACAAGGTCTTTTCTGATTTTGCTCTTATCTTCTCCAGTGTTACCTTACTTAACTCTTCTTTTTGTGTGAGTACCCGGTTTAGGTAAAATTGTAGCCTAACACAGCATCTTGAATTTATAATTTGCATCATTTGTTTAATATATTGTTTGATTACTTCTTTAATTCCTTTCTCAATAGTGTATAGATAATAATGAGAGCAGGAACCATTTGTGTTATTTCCTCTGTTTTTCAATTTGTGCATAGGATCTGAGATATTGTAAATTCTGTTCTTAAACTAAAATTAATGATCTTTTGAACCTAAGAGATCTCAGAGTACCTGTTCTCCTCCAGAACTCACAGCCTTTCATTTCCTTTATCCTTTCATAATATTGCTTCTCACAATGTTTCTTATTCTTTCACATCTCTAGGGTTGTTTTCCACCCACCCTATCCTTTGGCCTATTTTTTCCTGACTTTTGAGCACTCCTTAAATGTAAGCATGCCTGCTACTCAATTGCATGTGTGATTTTGTCACATAGTAATTCTGCTTCTTATCAGATAGTAACTCTGGAATGTCTAATAATCAGATGAGTTGTATATGGATTTGTGTGGTTAGTACTGTTTTTTAAGTTTTTGGCCTTGGTTTTTATTCACTTTTATTGATGATGACTTTTTTATTTTCTATAATCAGATAGCAAGAAAACGGCACAAAGTTATTGGCACTTTTAGGAGTCCTCACGGCCATGCCCGACCTCCAGCTTCCCTTAAGCATATTCACCTAATGCCTCTTTCTCAGATTAAGAAGGTGCTGGACATAAGAGAGACAGAAGGTATGCTCATTGGTTAACTTATGGGCTTGATAAAAATAGTTTATATTCATAGGAGGTTTAATTTGCTTCTGTATGTTTTCTTTTTGTGTTTTTGTGGTTCTAACAATTTAACCTTAGGTCAATTTACCTGTGAGCTACATCCCAGCCTGTTTTTGTTTTATTTTGAGGTAGTCTTACTAAATTGAGAAGGCTGGCCTCCAACTTGAATCTTCTTGCCTTGGCCTCCCAAGTTATAGGTTAAAGGATTATAGGTGTGTGCCAATCCACTCAAGTGTATGTTTGTCTTTTTAACTGATATATTATCTTTCAGTGTAGAGAGTCAGTTTGGTAAAGTAATTGTTCCTGTACCTCTATCCCAGCTTCATTTCTAGAAAGAGGTTTGATTTTTTTTTTTTTTTAAATGAAAGTACTACTTCAACTTATAGGATATCCTACTTCTAATGGTTATGTATTAAAATAGTACTAAACTATTTTATTTCCACATTGAAATATATTTTTTTAATTTCTTCTTCTTTTTTTAAAAGAAATCACCAGTCTATGCTTCATATCTTACCATCCCAGTGCCAGTGGCTATGTTTAAGATATGGCTTGGGAATAGATTGTGTGTGAAATAAATATTACCTAAAGTTATTGGTAGACTTGACTTGAGGTCATATATGTGTTAGTCAGCTTTCTGTTACTGTTAAAAAATATTTGATATAGTTAATTTATAGAGTATTTGGCTTGTAGTTATGGAGGTTTCAGTCCATGACTGAAATCCATTAGAATGATCCTATCATGAGGCAGCACATTATGGCAGGAGTGTGTGATGGAATAGTGTTCACCTCATGGCTGGCATGTGAAAAGGGAAGGAGAAAGAGACTGGGGTCCCATAATCTCCTTCAAGGACATGCTACCAATAACCTAAAACCTCCTATTAGGCCCCATCTCTTCAAGTTTTTAGATCTCCCAGTAGTGCCTAGCTGGGGGTGAAGCCTTTAATAGATGGACCTTTGGATGATGTTCCATATCTAAGTCATAGCCTTGTACTAAAGAAAGCTTTTCCTCTCAATTTTGGTAGTATTTAGGGAGGGTGCTTGGAAGGCCTGGAATTGTCAAAAATTTTTTTGTGGTGCTAGGGATTGAACCCATACCTTTGTGCATACTAAGCAAGCACTTTACCACTGACCCACACCCCCAGCCCTAAAACAGTGTTACCTGTTTACTTGTCACATAATAATGTGTTTTTATGCCCATATTTTGGATGTTAGGCATACATTTTTATAATGTAAGCTTTTTCTGTTACTGATTCCTCTAATGATAGAAGTTTTGAGTTCATGAGAAATGATTCTTAAAGAAAACTTGAGCACCAGCTTAAATTCCTGTTTTCATTTAGTTGCCAAACTCTGGATTTATTAAAGGTTATATGGGTCATTTATTTAATTGTCAAGCTCTAAGTTTATTAAGGTTACGAGACATTTATTTAAATAACTTCAATGTTTTTGGAATTTTTATTATGAAAGAGTTCATTGTTTAAAATAGGTTCTGTTTTAGCATCTTGAGCAAAAAACATTTTGTAATGGTTTTAATATTTGGACACATTTATTTGAATGTGATTCAAGTGGTTTTTTTTTGTTGTTGTTGTTGTTTGTTTGTTTGTTTGTTTGTGGAGCTAGGGATTGAACCCAGGGCCTTTTGCATGCAAGGCAAGCACTCTACCCAGCTGTATCCCCAGCCCCAAGTGGATTGCTATTGAATTATTCTTATCATGCCATTTTAATTTGAAACAAATTCTAAAATTCTAAGAAATGAAATAATCTAATTTTTTCTTAAAATTTATCATAGAAAATATTAAATTCATGGAAAATACTGCTCACTTAATGTTATTAAGTTATTGTTGGTTCTTTACATGGTATGCTATTACTATTATAATTCTTTCTTTGCTTCAACTTAATATGGTGATATTCTGTATATCTTCAAATATCATGAGTTTCTTTGAACTCATGATTTTTTTATTGTTCATTTTAAAAAAAGGGGACAGGGAGGGTGGAGAAGAAATAATTGTGCTGGAATTTTGGTGCTCCGAGGACAGTCTGCAAGGAGTAACAATGTTCATGGTTATTCTGGAACCCTAGATTGCCATAATGCTTTTGCCTTGCTTGTGAGGCCACCGACAGAGCAGGCAAATGTGCTGCTAAGTTTCCAGATGACATCAGATGAACTTCCAAAAGAAAACTGGTTAAAGATGCTGTGTCGACATGTAGCCAACACCATTTGTAAAGCAGATGCTGTAAGTTCTTTAACCTGTGTTATAATGAAAATTTAAACTCCATGGCAATGCATTCACACTGAATTTGTATATTTCTAGTGACTTGTTAATTATGAGTATTGAAGAGTTTTAGTTTTGTGTGTATGCAGAAAAACTAGTTTAATAAGTTGTTTTAGAAAAGATTTTTGAAAGTTTAGGCATGTGAAACATTCTTTGAGTCCCTAGCTTACAGACAGGTCCTCATAGCTGCCTAACTCCTATGGCTCTTGATGTGGTGAGGTTTTTGGGATTTGTAACATACCCTGTAATCTTCCATTCTATCACTCTATGCCTTTAGTTGATAATTTAATCTGTTTATGTTTAAAGGAATATTGAAAGGCAAGGTCTTATTATAGTCATTTTGTTATTTGTTTTCTAATTTTATTGTACTTCCTTTCTCACTCTATTATAGTCCTTGTGTTAAATGATACAGTGATAACTCTAGTAGTGCATCTTGATTCATTGCTTATTATTTTGGGGCAGTCTATTACAAATATTTGCTTTATGGTTACCAGGAGACTTAAAAAAATATCTTTTGATTGTAACAGGCTATTTTGAAAGGACAGCAACTTCACATGAGTATAAAGAGATACAAAAAGAAAAAGAGAAAATACACTAATAAAAAACTTCACTTGTACTTGATTCCTCACCACATTTTGGAGTTTGGATGTCCTATTTTAATCTTTCTGTATTGCCTATTTCTTTAACGCATAAATGTAGTTATTGTTTTTGTTTTATTTTTTAGTCTTCATACTAAAGATAACAATGCTTTACAAAACATGTATACATATTAGAGCTTTCTGCATTTGTCTCTATAGTTACTCTTACCAGTGAGTTTTATGCCTTCTCATGTTTTCATCTTATTATTGTCTTTTTCTTTTTGTTTGAAGAACTCTTTAAGAATTTCTGATAGAACAGGTATGGCAGAGATATATTCCCTCAACTTTTATTTGTTTGGGATGTCTGTATTACCTTTTCATTTCTTAAGGATAGCTTTGTTGGCTACAGTGTTCTTTGATGGCAGGGTTTTTGTTTTGTTGGGGTTTTTTCCTTTCTCCCCTCCTTTCCCTTTTCTCCCTTCCCCTTCCCTTTTCTTTCCTCCTTTTCCCCCCTCCTCCCGCCCCTCCTTCCTTCCCTACTTTGAAAATCTTATGCTACTGTTGTGGCATGTAAGGCTTCTGCTGAGAAGTCAGCTTTCTGTCAAACTAGGACATGCTTATGCAATTTGTTTTTCATTTCTCTTGAAGCCTTAGAATCTTTTTCACCTTTGAAAGTTTGAATATGGTATGTCTTGGGCTAGACTTGGTTGAGTAAAATGTGATCTTTGACCTTCTTATACTTGGATATTTGTATTTTTCTCTAGATTTGGAAAGTTTTTTCCTTTTATTTCTTTAAATAAGCTTTCTACCCCTTGGGCTTTCTGAAATCCATGAACTGAATATTTGCTCTTTTAAGGCGGCCCCAAAGTTCCTGCAGTGTTTTTTCATTCCTCTTCTTTCCTTATTATTTTTCTCCTCTGTATGTTTTCACTTAGCCTGTTTTTGAGCTGTTTCTTTTTTGTTTGATCTTTCCTGATTTATATCTTTGATCATGTTTTTAATTTTGCTTAGTATGTTTTTCAGCTCAAGAATTGTTTGGTTTAATTTTTTAAAAATGCCTCTCTCTCTCTCTGAAAGTATCTCTGAAGAGTGTTGAATTTTTCCTCTCATTTTCCTTCCCTTGAAGCTTGATGAATTTCCTTAAAACAGCTATTTTATGTTTTCTATTAGAACTAAGTACTGTGGCACATGACTATAATCCCAGTGAGATTGGAGGCTAAGGTAGAGGATCACAAGTTCAAGGCCAGTCTCAGCAACTTAGTGAGGCCCTATCTCAAAATAAAAAGGACTGGGGATATGGTTCAGTGGTAAAGTATCCCTGGGTTCAATCCCCAGAACCAAAAATTTTTTAAATTTTCTTTTGAACTTTTGGAGAGTTCATCCATACTGGTTGCTATCTAGTTAGTTTCTGGTGTGTTATTTTACTGTAAGGTGAGGTCATGATTTCCTGAAAGCTCTTGGTCCTTGGTGTGTAAAATCATCTAGGCATTGAAAGATCAGCATTTCTTCCACTCTTTGTATTTTAGCTTCATGCCTGATCAGAAATTTAAGGCAAACTAGTTATGTTCTCTGAGACTGTAGTTACTTCTATTTCAGCACTAGATGGCACCCCTAAGTCCACGTTAATCATCAGTCACTATTGGTGTATTGTCATTGTTTGAAGTCCAAGCTTGTCCTAAATCTGCACTTGGTTTGTTGTTCAATGTGAAATGAGTACTAACAAAGGGTACTCCATCCCTTTAAGTCTCTCTCTCAGACTGTGATAGGTCAAGATGCTTTATCCACTGTCCTGTGGTTGGATAATATAGGATTCTGCCTCGCTTTGAAACATGTCACACTCTGAGCCCAAAGCCCACCATAATCAGCAAAGCAATGGAATAGGAGCAAGGCTTACAACGGTGGGATACCTACTGCTGGGTGGACTTGGCCCAAGCAAGGCCCAAGATTGCTTCAAGCAGACATAGGTGATGCTGGCTAGAATAGAAGTCTGACAAACTGGAGCCACCTCTGGTACTGGGAGTTTTTCAGAGACTCTGCTTGGGCAAAGGCCTGGGGATTAGTGCTGTTAGGATGTGCCCAGTACACCAGATCAGCACAAAGCTCCAAGGTAATCCTGTGCTAAGTACTCTGCCCTTCTCTCAGCAAATGGAGGTTTGTTTCATGCTCTGTTGCCCAAGATTGCTGTAATGTTGGTAAAGGCAGTAACTTGGCCACCACGCCTGCACTGTACCTGAGTCCCATAGTGCTGCTAAGTACATGCATAGTCTCTGGCATGTACCCAGTCCCATTCTGCAACTAATAAGCCAAAAATGAATCTGTCCCTCCAGTGCTCAGGTTTCTGCTGGTGCCAGAGCAAGTCCAGAGGCTTCATCTGTGAGTATTGGCCTGGCCATAGCTATGCTCAGGAGTTGGTGGTGGAGACAGTCCTGTGGTCACTCATGCTGACGCTAAATTGGTTATACCTGAGTCTCATAGCCACAGAAACCTGCATAGGCTGGATGAGGACTGTCCTGGGCCTGTTTCAAGGCTGGACCTGATGCAGGTCAAACTTGAGTCTGGCCGAGTGAGGTGGCCCCACACCTACCATGAAAATCTGTAATCCAAAATGCTTGAAATTCAAAAAATTTTGAGTGCTACATTGTTTTATTAATGAAGTATGTTGAATTTCAGATTTTTGGATTAAGAATTTGCTCAACCAATAGAAAGAAGAGAACATTTTGTTCTATTGTAATGATTAGTAACAGCAGTATTTTATTTTATTTTATTGAAAACAATAAAGGGTTGTAGCATGTTGTTTTTCCTGTCAGGACAAGTGACCAGTCCATTTTTCTCACATCACCTCTTAAAATCAAATACCATCGTGAAGATATAATTATCTTTGTAGCATACAAATTAAAGATAGATGAGGAAATCCAAATATTGAAGTTAAATGATCGGCCAGAAATCTAGTAGCCTATAATAGATCTTGGATAAAATCTCAGTCAGTTCCCTTAAAGATATTTGAAATGTTCTCCATGTATAACATGTAATAGAGATAGAGCTCTTAACTCTTTGTACCAATACCATAGATAGAATAGAATGTATCATATAATAGATTATCCTTTTCAGTAGAATAGTACTATAATTGAGATTTTCCTGGACATGCTTGTGGGAATAAAACATTTTATCATAGTTAAATCTGACTTTGAAAAACATTTATTATAATGTAGTTTATAAAATAGACAATTCTTGATTAAAAATATTTCCCACCTAAATATTTAGAACAATAAACAGACATCGTGATTCATTTGGTTTTTAAAAAAATTTTATGGATCAAGAATGTGTTTGATCATAGAAAAAGTAGAGTTTTCTCTTTTTTTTTTTGTACTAGGAATTGATTGAACTCTGAAGTGCTTTACCACGGAGCTGCATCCCCAGCCCTGTATTTTATTTTTTATATTGAGACAGGGCTTCACAAGGTTGCTTAGGACCTCACTAAATTGCTGATGCCCTTAAATTTGCCATTCTCGTATCTCAGCCTCTGAAGTCACTGAGATTACAGGTGTGTTCCACCATGCCTGACTGAAAACAGCTTAAAGATTAAAAGTATCTCTTATAAGGAAGAACTTTTAAATTTAGTTATAGATATCTGTCTATAAAATGGACTTCTTTACAGTATAGTAATTACTCACTGTAGAAATGACTTCTGCATTGTCAGGATGTGAGACTTGATGGCCTATGTAGTCTTTTCCAAATTTATAACCTTAATGGTAAAATGTAAAGTTAAAGACACAATATGGCTAATAATATTAGAACTGAAATATAAGTAGCAAATGAAAAATTTCATAAAATATAATTTTCCACAAGATGGCAGCAAACATTTAACTATGTTCTGATTTATTTTCTTATCCTACAAACTTAATCCAATCTGTTGCAATTTTTCTTAGAATTTTGTTTGTAAATTCAGATATATGGTGTCTTCCCTTTCCTGCATTTAAAATTTTGCACGTAGTAAATTTTTTAAAAAGTCCTGAGTCAGTGTTTTGACAACGTTTTGCCATGTTGAAGAGGTAATGTTTATAAATATATAAATACAAAAGACATATACATGTAAAATATATTGAAATCTCTCATACTTTGAATAGGTAGGTTTTGTCTTCCTATTATGTATTTCTTGGTATCCTAACTAATGGAAGCTTGCTTGATAATTATAAGTACAGTTTTTTTATTCTATAAATATATTTCATGATATTTTCATTTGTGATGATCCTTCATAAATGACTTAAGAATTAGGACTTCTAGGCTGAAAGAAAACTAATTTTTTTTTAATATTTATTTTTTAGAAGTAGTTGGACACAATACCTTAATTTTGTTTATTTAATTTTATGTGGTGCTGAGGATCAA